TCCATCAAAGACAGGCACCGAGAACAAAACGACACAACTAGTTTCAAATGTGATGGCGACAAGGGAAGATTAAATAGGATCAGACGCACACAACAAACATAACTTAGAGGCCATAACTTCATGTACAAATCAGGATGCTTCATGCTGTGCAGGGGGGCACCGTGACAAAGACAAGTTCATATTATGGGTGAGGACGAAGAAATAGCATGGGATTCTCATGGGAAGAAATATGATCATGTTTGCCCTCTCTAATTATTGTAATTAGATCTCTAACCATTTGAGTGAGTACTGTCCAGCAGCAGATTTACTTCTTACTGCCCATCATGGACCCAAAGAGAATTATGCAGGGACATTACAGCATTATTTGTAAAACAGTAATAATCTAAGTACACATCAAAAGGGGAAGAGTTACATGCATGGAGTACTTCTATGCAAAGTTCAAAAGAATGGATGAGGGCTTACATATACTAATATGAAACTACATCCAAAAAATATCGTTGGGTAAAAAAAAAAAAGTGAACTGTAGAATGACATGTAGAGTGTGCTTCCATTTGTGTGAAATTTAGGGAGACACAGAGGTTCAAGTAAAGTTTCACATACACAGACCATCTCCAGAAGAATACATAAAACATGATGACGGTGGTCGCCTGTGTAGGGGAACCAGGTGTACGAAGGTCAGGGTGGTAAAGAGACATATCACTCACTACATTTACTTTACTATTATTGGAAATTTGCCACATCTAGTTGGAGAAAAAGTATCTCAAACAGTATAGATGGAGAAAGGTAGCGTTAACCAGCAATGGAAACTATTCACTTTATAATCTGCCCTCCATCCCGTGTGTTAGCTTAACGGAATTCTCTATATGTTCAGAAATGAGGTAAGGGGAATTATCTGCGCAGAGACCAAGATTCAGATGTGACTGGGGGGGAATCAGGGAAGAAAAGAAAGGGGGCAAAGCTTCGCATGAGCAACAGACAAAGATACATGGGCTACTGATCACAAAAGCTAACGGATGCACCTGGGCCCGGAAATATGATTTTAGGTGATAAATAGACACTGTTGGATGAAATTGATTCACATAATGATAACATTATTCCCTTTTCCAATCTTTTTTTATTGCTCAGATATAGTCAAAGAGGAAGTCTCAGTTTGGTGCAAGTATGTCTTTATGACCTCTGGACACTTTCCTGGAGTTAAAATTTGATAACGTGTTTTGATTTGACTGTATTTCTTTTCACTCCTATCCTTCTTAGAGAAACGAACTCTGGTTTCCCACTTTTGGCATTGAAACAAAGCTTCCTTCGAAAACAACCGTATTTAATTTTGATGTTTTATAATGAGCCATTTTCAAGGAAAATATTAAGTAACACAAGACGCGCAGGGATGGCAAAAATCGTGACTGAAGTTTAGCAAGCAGTGCCTTGAGACAGATTCTTCTAGGTCTATGGCAGGGAAGCTGTGCAGTTGTATGGTTGTGATTGTTGCTGGGTTTTATTTTCATCCCACCAAACAAGCGCTGAATAAAATTGAGGGAGATTTTTCAGCAAGCTGAAGTTTCGTCCTCATCGCCGACAGTATTTAACAAGAATAGCCTTAGTTTCCTAGAGTTGATTCCACGGATGACTAAAAAGACCGAGAACCAAAAATACAGGCACCAACTCCGACGGCCTAATTAAAAGTGTGATTCTTGCCCCGGTGTGGAACACTAGCCCTTTTGTTACATTCCAGGAGAGAAGAAACACCTCAACCGAAATCACATTTTCCTCCTTTCTCCCTCTCCAGTGCCACCATTTTTTCATTAGCTAATCCCAATTAGAACGCTTTTTTTTACTAAAGCCATAAATCTCTGCCTTTCCCAATAAGCATAAATTATATGGTAAATAACTGTATTCTGTGTCTGTCCAGAAAAATAAAACACTCTTTCTTCTTTCTTTCTTTCCTTTCTTTCTTTCTTTCTTTCTTTCTTTCTTTCTTTCTTTCTTTCTTTTGCTTCTTTCTTTTCTTTCTTTCTTTCTTTCTTTTCCTTTCTCTGGTATTTTATGAGACTCTGAGCTGCTAAGTCAACGTTCACGCTTTTTGATTTAGGATTTCTCCCCCCTCTCATCTATCACTCGTCTATAAAGGCAACACTTCTTTTAGAAAGAAAACTACCACCAATGCACTTCTCTAAAGTTCATCCTAATAAAAGTATGTTTTTTCTTCCTATTTCTGAGTGACTCCAGGTAGAGGCAAAAGCTTGATTGTTGTGTTAAAATCTACCTCTGCCATTTCCTGGCTAAATGGCCCAGGACCCTCATGATAGCTCAAACCCAGGTCTGAATCATCAACTAAGGAGACAGACCTCCTAAAACTTGTCCCAAAATTAATGAAGAAACTTAATAAACAATGTTTAGCATAGTGCCTGGCACAGAGAATGTGCTCATTAATATTAGTTGCTCATACTGCATAAACAAAAGTGGTGATTTTTTTCATTGTTGTTCCTTCTGTGGTCAGCAATTGCTTAACCCAACATTCTCTACGTTAAACTAATTAAAAGAAACATACCTTATCCGTGATTGATTTTCAAACTCATTTATTACTCGTTTCTCTATGGTTTAATTTAATTAAATTGAGTAGCATATCAAATATTGATTTTAATAAAATCTTGATTAAGACTCGAGCAATTATCAAACACAATTTTCATACCATTCCTGCATTTCAATGGAACCAACCTGAAAACCAATTTGCTTTTAAAATAAAGAAGTGATTTTATACACATACACACATTCCCCCCACCCCCACCAGGCCATTTTCAGAAATACAGAAAAAAAAAAATGGCCTCCCAATCTTTTCGTTAGCAAGATAAGCAAAGATAAGCAGCAATCTCCAACTGGGGTTCTGAAAAGCTTAATCCAGTTGGTCACCTCATCTCCAATCAGTAGTGGAAGGGAAAAAACAAATTAGAATCAATTCCTTTGATAAACATTAACTTAGCAACTACTATGTACAAGCCACTGTCCTGTACTGTCCAACACAAGGAGAGGTAGTCAAGAGCTAATCCTATAGCCAGTTTTAATGTGTGTGGAAAAATCCATCCACACATGCAAGTCTTTAATTTTATTGAATAATGACCAGAGAAGTACATGTATTTCAATTCTTGAAATTACTCTGCTGTATGATTTATGTGCATAGACTATTGTTAAGAGAATGTAATGTAAATGTGACGGTATAAATTACCAATAGTATCATATTAGCAATTAACTATAAGACATTTAATAAGTTAAATATTTGGTTTGATAGTTAAGTGCCAAAAAAAAAAAAAAAAAAAAGAAAGAAAAAGAAAGAAAGAAAGAAAGTCTGGCCAATAGCTATCACAGCAGCACCATCTAGAGGATTCTGAAAAGTAACACAGGGTCATTCCCCCAACTTGCCATTCTTCCTGTTTAGGCGAAAAGAAAGGCAGCTATAGAGTTCACCATCTTATGTCATTTTAAAGCATTTTAATTCTGTCCACATCATTTAGCATCATCTTAAATCTTGAAATGTTTATGGAACAGCTCAATGAGATGGAATATTCTCGAAATCATAATGCAATTGGAACAAGGATCCCAGCTGTCCTCCTGGGGAGGCAGTACTGGGTGTGTACTGAAGGATCCCAGGCCCTGGGACACGGTGACCTGGGCCATGACTCCCCTCTCCTCCCAACACACACACACCTCCTTATTCTATCTTGATCCCAGACATATCCATGCCAAAGACTGGACGATGGGTAACATTTCAAAATCATACCATTCCTGAGCTACTGTCCACTGTGTATTTACGTGAGTTGACAAAAAAATAATAAACTTTCTATTATTAAAACTGTTTACACCAGCACATCCACTTACTAATTCCGTTCCATTGGCCTAAGCTGAATCAATGTCCTGGGGTGGGTTGAAAGAGAAATAATAAAACATCTCACTTTTTTTTTTTTTTTTTATAGTTCTCATTCCCCTATCGTTTCTGTAACTTTTCTGAACCAGAGAACTGCTTTGGCGTCATGTTAAAAGGATTACAATTGAGATAATAAAATATGTCTGCTATTCATAGGAACTAGTCCTCTCCTTACATTATTTGCTTTCAGAATTTCAGGCAATTTTGCAGACCCTTGGTCGGCTGCAACCTCACAGGGAAATGGCAAACATGTACATTTAGTGTGGCCCCGGCCAGTGGGGGACGGGAGGAGCGCTCACCTTCATTTCCACTGGGGGGCACTGTCCACCTCGGGGAGAGGGGACGGAGTCACAGTTTGCCAGGCCAATTTGTAGAAATCTGAGTTCACCTGCATTCTGAAGTCAGGGTTCTCAAATGAGCGCCCTAGTAAAGGGTCAGAGATGGGCAGTGAGTGGGTCATTCATGGTGATTCTCTATACTTGAAGCAAATGCAATTGGGCACAACTGACGAAAGGAATACGAGGTTTTGCCTAGAGAAACCTTTTCCCCATGCTGTATGCTAAAGCCATCACTAAAAGTCATAGCAAACTGCAATAATTTTGGTTCTTTCAAATGTCTTCATGTTCTTGCACGGCTTTTCCCTCTATTCTACCTCCATACCTATTCACTTCGTAAGTGTCTGGTTCTCGTTTGTGACTTAGTTCAGATGTCACTAACTCCAGGAACCCTTCCAGGACTCCCTTACATTGGGGCAAGATGACCTCCTACGTGCTTCAACTGCATCCCATACTGCTTCCGTGAGGAAGCTTGATGTAATTACTTGTTTATTAACTATGTCCCCCATTAGGCTGCAGATGCCATCAAAGCTGGGGGGATTTCTATCTTATTCACAGTTGTATTCCCTGCATCCCCATAGTCTCAGCTCAAAGCCTCCATCAAGGAATGATCACCCTATATAAGTGTGATTTATGTTGGGGAGGACTCTGATGTTAGGCACACAGCCTGCATTTCTTCGCCCTCCAAAAACATGGGCCTCAGTACCCACTGTTTTTCTTCCTCACTTACCTTGTTCTCTTAATCCCTACAGTCGTCAGAAGAGAGGCCCAAGTTTCCACAAGGTAAGCTGCCTCTTGCTATCGAGGATTATGGCAATTCTGCTTGGCCATCTGTTCACCATCTCCAGAACTTGTTCTAGGATCCGCAGACAACCCATCTCTATTCCTGAGTCAGCTGCAAGAGAAGCGGTCAACCAAAATATTTACAGTAGGGATCTTTCTGGGACGTCTGGTGAGCTCTAATGAAGCGAGAGTCAACTGGGAGGGAGATGAGACCCCCCATCCCCTGCCCCGCTCATCTTTCCAAGCAGGTAACAAAGTGCTATTCTCTACTGTATGCAGTTGACATAATAGCACAGAAGGAAAACAAGGAAGTTCAACTTTGTTTCTAGTTCAACTACTTACTGTGTCCATGGAAGGACTATGATATTCTAGAACTAGAAGAGCATAGCGCCATCTAGGTAACCTGAAGAGTATAGTGTGGCACCCAAATACAGAGTCAGAACCATCCTGGGAAGTTCCAGACCGTGATGAAATAATATATTTACCACTCTGGATCCTTTTCTGTCATCTGTTTCGCCTGAGACTACATCTGCAAAATGGCAGTAAACCTGCCAGGCTCAAGGGGTCATTGCGAGGGCAACTGAGACAGGCCCTAACAAAGTGCTTGGAAAACTACGCCCACCCAACAAAAAATGAGAGATTATTAATGTTAATAGAACGACCACAGACTGCCCCATCATCCCATAGCCATTATCCTCAATTTTTAAAGATCTGAAGAGAATATTTCACTGCTAACATCCTGACTTAGGTTTAGTTGGAAGATAAAACTTCTAGCCAAATTAGCCTAACATACATGAAATGATAATCAGTAGATCCTGAGAGTAAGAACCAACTAGAGATCATTTAGGGTATAATAAAGGGGAAATAGTATAGATAGTTGTGTTATTTTGTTTACTTTCATACTTATAATTGTGTACACAGGAACATACATGCTGAGTACCATAAGTAAACATTTTTCAGGGGCGCCTGGGTGGCTCAGTCGGTGAAGCGGCCAACTTCGGCTCAGGTCACGATCTCGCGGTCTGTGAGTTCGAGCCCCGCGTGGGGCTCTGGGCTGATGGCTCAGAGCCTGGAGCCTGCTTCCAATTCTGTGTCTCCCTCTCTCTCTGCCCCTCCCCCATTCATGCTCTGTCTCTCTCTGTCTCAAAAATAAATAAACGTTTAAAAAAAAATTTTTTTTCAGCCAGCTCCCTTACATAAATCTCAGAGTCTTTGGTCATTCAAAAAAAAAAAC